ACAAGAGCAAGACTTGACAGTCCTATTGCGAACGTGTGAAAGGACAGAAATGGAGTAAAGTTCTCTATTCAACAATTTTTGAGTTGAACCTGTTCATGTCTTCTGTTTCCTGGAAAGCTCAAGGCAGTGTGTTTGTTATTTTGTACTCAGCAGTTTAGTTTTGTTTCTTTTGCTGAAGAATGCTCTTGCCTTTTCTGGAGCACCTTTCACCTCAAGCGTTTTAGGAGCTGATACGCCGCGTCCATACAAAGAGCGTTCTCTCCGTGGCAGAGAGTTGCCCGTGGTATAGCCCTGATGTTTTCTAACTGTGCGCAACAATAATTCAGAATGTGAAGTGAAGCGTGTGTGTGTTTAACAGTCTGAAACTGGTTGGGGAAAACAGGCCAGCAGAAGGTTTAATCAAACTGAATTGAAATTGGACTGGGATGCCAGACCTAATGTTGGAGTAGTTCGTGGAAAGCGGTGCGAGGTCTCAGATAGCAGCTCATCAAGATCATGGTTTTATATTTATTCTGAAACACACACTTGGTGTTCTACTGCCCGGGCTTTGTAAACTTCTATTTCACATGTCCATTTAACTCATCTACTCACTTTCACATGGCCATTTAACTCATCTACATGTGTTTGAGCATCTACACGTGTTTGAGCTTTCTGGACACTGATCCCCCTGTGATTTGCAATTGAACAGAGCTTGTGACAAAGCAGATTGCTTGCACTTAGGGCAGTGCTGCAAACAAAGGTGCTGTTCATCTCGCCTACCTATACATGTCCATGGGTGATTTCCTACTTCGAACTGCTTTTATAGTCAAGGGAGAAAAATAAGCCTTTCCAGCACACGATTCATCTCTTTCCACAGCAAGAATGTGGAGCAGGACAGATGAAGCCTGCTGTACAGGTGCCCGTTTTTCTAATTGAATATTAAAGGACTTCAAGTCAATTAACACAGATAGAGGTGTCTGTGCTGTACAGGTGCCCTTTGCACTCTGATGTTTGCTGCTGTAGAGATAAGTAAATGTGGCTTTGCTCCTGCACCAAGGAAGATGGGTGTGTTTGGGCTAAAAAGGAGGAAATCATCAGAAGAGTCTCTCCGGGTAAATGTGTGGATGTGCTGCTGGTGTGCGTAAGCCCGAGAGAAGTTAGGTGCGTGATGGCCTCCTTACCGCTGCAGAACTTGGAGTAGTTTTGAGTTTAGGCTGAAGTCTTACACAAGTATAAAGAACTTTAGTGTATTCTCGGAGGGTGGCTAGCTAACAGATTTTTTTAAGGGGAAGGCTGAATACTTGAAAATGACAATGTTAACTCATCAAAACTGGGTTTATGAAGGAGCACATTTGAAATGTATTTGAAATGTGTAAAAGGGAACACTAAACTGCAGAGCAACTATATTCTGAGTAGAAGAAAACAAATTTGGCAATGTTAAGGAGCCAGTTGTGTGTGTGTAGATTGGAGTGAGATCAGGTTGTGCTTTCTGGAGACGTTGTGAAGCTGGGGATGGAGAAAGGGGATACCACAGCTTAGAGAAGTGCTAGTCCTGTGCGAAAGACCCTGTCGCCTTCCTTTCTGTCTGCTTTCTCGGGTGAAGTAGACCAGTGGGAGTGACAAGCAGTCAAGATCAGCAGCGTCTTCACCAGGTACAAGTGTGGATCTTCATACCCAAGGGGGGTGAATCCGGTGCTGCTTAACCTAAGGAAGAAATTGCTGAGGTTGTGCATTTTCTGGCCCGAATGAAATAGATACCAGTGCAGCTCTCGCCGCACACAGTTTTAGCTAGTGGAATTTGTTTGACAGAGTCGAGGTGTTGCGGTGGCTCGTTGGCTACTTCCAAGCGATAATTTCCCTGAGATGAAAGGGTCTGTGAGCTTCAGCCTTGGGGGAAAAATCAGCTGCAGTTTGGTGGGGTTTGAAAGTTACAACTGCTGTGCCGCTGCCTGGCTGAGAGCGTAAAAGGAACCTGAGGTTTTTGGAGGTCTAACCTCTAGTGAACTACAGCCTTTGCTTAAAACAATAATAGTAATAATAATACAAATGACTCTCTTTATCTGCTTGATAGAGATTAAGGATTGAACTGGTAGATTAATTACTTTTTTTTTTTTTCCCTAGGACAATTCTAGATTTTTATAAAATTGCTTAAAACTATAGGATGGGAATAACTCGGATCAGGAATTCAGGTACACGGCATGTTAGCTTGTGGAAGCACTTTCTCTGAGGATGAGCAGCAGCTTTCATTTTCCAGAGCAACTGCTCATCACTTCTCTAGAGCTGTCAATCACGCCGTTACCAAGCACTGCATTTACTTAAAAAAAAAAAAATAATAAAAATCCTAAAAATAGTTGACGGTTACATTGGTAGGAAAGAGAAATTTCTATGGGAACTTTGAGCTTGCGTGTCTGAATGTGTGGTTTGCAAATTGTAGGGATGTTCTAGCTTTTGACTTCCAATCTGCTTTCTAGTGAATTCTTGGGCAGCTGTTGGGCAAATCGGTGGAAAGATATGTACTGCACTAAATTCCAAGTGATTTTTTTTTTTCTTTCTCCTTTCTTTTCTTCTAAAGTTCCTTTCCTGTGTGGAAGAGTATGTTGTGCACTAAAAACATGATTCACTTGGTCCTGAGAAGCTGGTGTAATGCAGCGATGCCCAGTGGGAAGAAAAACTTGCGGTAGTTGAGAGTTGATGGAACTCGGGGAGGGTCTGGCTGCTTTGATAAGGCAGACTGAAAAACTGGCAAGTTCTTAGGTACAGAGCTCAAAGCTAAGGATACAGTGCTGTGGCCTGATGAGAAGCAGACTTATTCCTGGTGTTAAGTGTGGTGTTTTCAAGGAAAGAGCGCAAGAAACAGCTTCTGGGCAACTCCAGCTGTAGTGCCGTTTCTCTTCTGAGCCCAACAGGGTGATCCGGAGCCCGCCTTTCTCAGCTCACGTCAAAAGCAGGGATGCTTGAGAGTAGCTGTACAGAGCTGATGTGTTGGAAGCCACGAGGATGATCCGAGGGCTGGAGCACCTCTCCTACGAGGAGAGGCTGAGAGAGTTGGGGCTGTTCAGCCTGGAGAAGAGGAGGCTCCGGGGAGATCTTATTGCCGCCTTCCAGTCCCTAAAGGGGCTCCAGGAGAGCTGGGGAGGGACTTTTTACTGGGGCATGGAGTGACAGGACGAGGGGGAATGGATACAAACTGGAAGAGGGCAGGTTTAGATTAAACATTAGGAAGAAGTTTTTCACTTTAAGGGTGGTGAGGCACTGGCACAGGTTGCCCAGAGAGGCTGTTGAGGCCCCATCCCTGGAGGTGTTCAAGGCCAGGCTGGAGGTGGCCTTGGGCAACCTGGGCTGGTGGGGGGTGTCCCTGCCCAGGGCAGGGGGGTGGAATGAGGTGATCTTCAAGGTCCTTTCCAACCTAAACCATTCTATGATTCTAAGCCACTGTCTGCTGCTGTCATGGTAGTTTGTTTACTGTGTGTGAAACCAAAATGATTGAGTAAAATGATGGGGATTTGCATCCGTGAGTGGTACTGCAGATGGAGTGGTCCTCAGGATGAAGGCAGTGTGGGTAAAGTCATCGTCTGCCGTGGGGCAATCGGTAAAGTGTTCCTTGTTGAGTAAAAGCCGAGTGCTGATTGAAACTGTCAGTCAGCAGTGCGTATTCTTTGATATTGTAGTATTAGTACCTCGATTCTAGAAAAAACTGCCCATTTAGTCTTAGACAGAAAGTAAAACTTTTATGAAATCTTAGGCATGGCAGTCATAGTGCCTTGTTTTGTTCCCTGAACAAAGTCCGAGTGGTTCATTGTAGGAAGAGTCACGATTTGTTGCACTGCTGTTTGGAAAATAAGGCTCCTCTAAGGATTCAGGGTGCACTCGAGAGAAGTTCTGTTTGTTCTAAAACTGTGCTTTCAGAGGTATAAAAATGTCACTACATCACCATGAGCAACTGGATTGGAACACACGGTGAGTTCCACTTCTTAACCGTGTAAGAAATCAGTTATGTCAGGCGTGATTAAACTTTTAAAATAAATGGGTTGAAAAAGTAAAAAATATAAGGAGTCATTTGTACATATTATTAAGATGTTCTTGTAACAATTCTTTTGCATTACTGCTAAATGAAATATGAAAGAAACCTTGTTTTCATCTGTTTTTGTTGGAATCCTCCCAAACTGAAATTCTGCTGATGCTCCTCCGTATACTAATTGAAATAAAATTAGATTAGTCTCTTATTTTCATTTGGTATAGCGTATATTGAAGATTTCGTAAATACTCATTACAGGGGTTTTTTGTTGTTGTTTTTTTTTTTTTTTTCTCTTTTTCACTATCAAGTCTTATAAACATGGTAGTGCGAGATCTAGCTGATGTTTGGGCGAGACTTAAAATTCTGGGGCAAATAAGCTGTGATTTCAGCGTGTGACCCCACGCTACTTTATGAGTCAGCACCGAACCCTGCGCTGGCACGGTGCTGGGCTGCTGGAAGTATCGTCTTCCCCCGACTGTAAACAGACATCACGGCAACCTGGCCCCACGGCCACGTGTTGTTGATCGCAGGAGAAGACTTTGAATGTGTGCTGTGCAGTTCCAACGCGGCACTCCCTTCTGCAAACGCCTGAAACTGCTGGGACGTCGACTGGCGTGTTCCTGCCCTCTGTAGGAATGACGTTTTAAGTGTGTTTCTTCATAAAGACCTTTCCTTTGTGAGCTTGAGACTAGCTTTAAACTGTAAACTAGTGAGGAGACTAGTAGAAACAGAAAGCTAGTTAAGTAAGGTAAGATCTAACTAGGTAGTGTGGGTGGTTGAAGTGTTAGAAATGTCTTTTTTTCAGCGGTGGAGCTCAGGGTGTATCTGACTTTTTAGGGCAGGCTAGGTAAGGCAGATTAAAATGTCAAACTGTGAGTTAATAAAAACATACTTAAACTATAAACTCCATTGCCCATTTTATAGAAAAATCTCAAAGCACTTAGCAGATGCTTACGTTTTTTAAAACGTGCCTGAGGCAAGTGTAGTTACAAATGGTGTTATAATTGGGCGAACTGAAGTAACGGGAAACGTATGCTGTGTGGGTAAGACCGGACCCCAACAGTCACCTTTGCCAGTCCCCGTGTTTACTGCAAGGCATTCCTTCAGCTGATGTTTATCGCTCTTTTCCTGTAACTGATGTTGAGAGACTGCTTATAAAGTGTTTGGTATAATAAGTACTGCTGTGTATAGATGTGTCAGGTACTCCAGCTGCGGTGTGACTTTTGGCTGCGTGGTTGTATTTCACCATTTGGGTTTTCTTGTATACAGAGCTGGGAGGACTTCTGAAGTACGTTCGACCCTTCTTGAACTCCATCAGCAAAGCAAAGGCAGCCCGCTTAGTCCGATCCCTGCTCGATCTCTTCCTTGACATGGAGGCAGCAACAGGACAGGAGGTGAGATTCAGACTTCGGCACTAGTGCATTCCTCAAAAGCCTGTAACACCGTTATCTGACCTACTTTGCTTCACACTGAAGAATTATTCATGTCAGGAAAAATTCATTTAATGCATTTGGATAGATTCTATTAATAAAACATCAGATAATTTAATGCGCTCATAACCCATGTTTTTCTGCAAGCCTCACCCCGCTCCAGGTTAGGAGTAACTCTCACCCTGGGTGTTTTTCTTACGTTTGTGTTGCTTGCTGTTAGATGTACAGCAGCAGTGGTATTTTGTAGTGTGATTATTGTCGGGGATGTGAGAGGTGCTACGGCTGTTCTTGATACGGTGGGGACGGTGTGCGATGGCACAGAACCAGAGGAGGGAGCGTTCCAGGTGTGTTGAGGAGTTGGTGGGATTAGATGGTGAGTACTGCTTAGCGTCTCTCCTCTGGAGGCATGAAGGCGTATTGCATGGGGACACAGTGCAGTGGGCATCTTACTCTGCAGAGGGATTCTGAGGCTTGAAAGTTCTTCCTGAAGTGGGTGTGGAAAAAGTTTTGCAGCTACAAAGTGTAAACTATTTCCAGTGGATTAACTTCTCCACTAGAAAACCCATTCAGTCTAAGATAGCTCCCAGTTAGGATTTACTCCGTTCTCATTAGCTCCCTTGGATACAGTTGGTTTTCTTCTTTTTCTTTGTGTTTTTTTTTTCTTTTTTCTTCATTGTTGTTTATTTGGGAACGGGAGAAGGACAGGAGCAACCTGTGAATGACGAGGAGCCACTTAGGAGCGGCGCTGACCTGCAGCAGTATGGGTTGTACTGGCAGACCGAAGCAGTAGATGGAAAGAGGAGGCAGGGAGGGTCTGAGCAACAGCTTAAGGACAAAGCCCACACAACACTGTACGCACAGCAGCTGGCAAATTACAGCCTCCAAGAGGTTCTGCCATGTTGAGAGGCGGGTGGCACTCTCGTTAGCCAAATTGGCACAGAAATATCATCCACCAGTTCAGGTGACCTAGCAAATGTTCTTTTGCTGTTCAGTGCTTGTGGCTTCTGTGTCGTGTCGCTGTAAGCAGTGGCGGACGGAATCTTTTGCCCTTCTTTTTTAACAGAAGGGATTAAGGGAAGCGGGGTGGGATGTGCAGGTGAGAAGGGAACCCCTAAAGGGGTCAGGAGAAAAGGAGCGGCTTCAGACTTTTTCTGAAGGTAACTTGATGTAAATGACAATATTTGGGTGCAGTCTCAGAAGATGGCATTTTGTGGCAGGGGAAGAACTTGCAGATTAACAGGGATGGAGACATAGTCCAGCTGGTCAACACTTCCACTTTCAAGCACGTTCAGAAGCCAAACCCAAAATCTTAAGGAATTGTGACACCTAACCTGTGAGGTTCTTGGTGCAGTAATCCTGAATACTTTCAGTGCCTCAGAAATGTTCAGAGGAACACTTGCTTCCTCGGTGTAACTTACATTAAGAAGACTCCCAAGAGCCCCGTAAAGCAATGAAATTGGAGATTTCTCCAGCTCCTAATGCTCCAGCTATCGCTGTGCAATAAATTGCAACTTCATAATGGCTTTTCATAAAATGTCCCCATTTAATAAGCAGTGACGAGGAGCTGACAAGTCCTGCAGTGTAGTACAGTTACAGAGCTACTCTGGAAAGAGCTGCGATCCAGAGGTTTTGGGAAGAGGCATTCCTGAGCCTAGCACCTCAGGATGACTTACTGTATATTATTGGCCAGTACTAAATCGACACCCGCTTCTAATTAGGGTGGAACAAGACTGCTTTATTCATCAAGGGAATCTCAGCAGTCTTAAAAATATGAGAAGCCATTGGGTTCCTTTACTCTGCTTTGAAGTGACAGATAAAACATCCAGTGTCACTTACTGACTGGCTTCTGGCACCTAACTCGGTTGTAGGTAGTGGAGCTGGCACCTCTTGCTTTATGCTGCTAAAGGACACACGATCTGACATATTTAGGGCCTAAAACACTTGCACTTGATTTTCCTTTCTTTCCAGAGCAACTGAAAATACAGTTTTCTCTATGAAATGGTACAAAACGCACTGGAAGGGACCTCGAAGTCTTTTAGTTCATCCCTTGCCCTAAGGCGGAATCGGTTCTCATGTACCCAGATGTTTTTATTTCAAACAAAACCACAGCTGTTTAAGACATGCTACGAGGATTTCAGCAGTACTTTTTACTGGTGAAACTTTGGAAGCCAAATCTTTATTTTCATATTCCAGCGTGGGAGGATTGTCCCCGGTGGTCAGAAAAAGTGATTGGAAGCCAAATGCATTAGAAAAGGCATCAAAGAAGGTGGTCTGTTGGGGTTTTTTGTGATGGCTAAAGCTTAAACTAAGCCTTAGATTGCCTTCTGAACTTGACTTCCTCTCGCAGTCCCTGTTAGAAGTAGTATAATGCTGTGAATGTTGTTACAAAATGCAGGATGTTAATCAAGCAGATAGAATATGAAAGTATGTAGCACAATTTAACTGTTCTGTGTCATTTTTTTGCAACATTTCGGTGAGTGTAAACTCTGGTGTCAACATGATGCAGCCTGGGGCTGAAGTGTGTGGTGTGTGGTTACCCGTGAGACCTTGTTGAAGAGAAGTCGCTTAACCTTCCACCGTTGAGCTGCAGTTCTCATCGGTGGGGAACCGGGCTTTACCCTGGCGATATTGAAGGCGTCGTTCAGAGACATTTGGAATAGGCACTAATGATGAAGACTAATCTCCAGGCTCACTTTAAAGTAAAGCTAATTCGATGTTTAGCAGTGCTGCTGTTCAAACAGGAATGACTTATTTTCTTAAACTACTTAGTGGAGATTCAGGCTTTGTTGTATTTTTGTTGCTTTGTAGGAAATGATTGAAGCATACTGCTGTTTTAAAGAGGGGCAGCAGAAGGCTTTACAAATTTCTTTCTGCTCCCTTTAAGGTTGACCTGTGTTTAGAGTGTATTGAATGGGCCAAATCAGAGAAGAGGACTTTCCTACGCCAGGCTCTGGAGGTACGTTACGTTGCGGATTCCAGACCTATGTAATAATGTCTCCCCTTTATCAGATTTAATACTTATAAAAGTTGGGAACTTGTAGCATGTTGTCTAGATATTTGTACATGTAATAGACGAGCGATAACAATTACGCTGAAGTTAGTGACTGTCCTAGAATAGGCAGGATTTTACCCACTGTATTTAAAATAGCCAATCTTCCAAATGGTAGATCTTGCAGAATTGGACCATATGATGTAATGAATGCAAACTAATCCAGTGAAGTCTGTGCAGATACAAAATACAAAGTTTTCTTTTACAAAATCAATCTGTACTCCCTTTCACTGGCTTTCCTCTCAGCAGTTCCTTTTCTGTTCTCCAGGCGAGGCTGGTCTCTTTGTACTTCGATACCAAGAGGTACCAAGAAGCGCTGCAGCTAGGTGAGTCTCCCACTAGGTGGTGGTAGTAGTTCTTTGCTTTGAAATGAGTCTTGAGGCTGACAAGGGAACCAAATCAACTACGTCATGTTCCTTGATAAGTTTTGTAGGACTTGGGCATTAATTTCTTAGTGCTGTACCAGTTCTGCCATCTTCTGCTATAGCTTGGTGATAAAAGCTTTTAGAGATCTCTTTGTTCTCCCCATTTGTTCATTTCACATAATTTTGGAAGCGAAGAGGAGCTATATCCAGTTGAAGGCCATCAGGTTCGGCTCCTGCTGGAACATACACAGTATACTGCTGTGGACAGAGAGGTTGAAGGGAGAAACCAGCTTTTTTTCAGTTTGCTCAAATACGGCCTCAGTAGAAGCAGTAGTAATGCCAGGAAATGCCAAACCTCTGAGGATGTAATTAGACCAGCTTTGTGAAGCAGTGTAAAGGCTTGAAGAATTTGCTTCTTTGTACCACCTGAGATATGGTAATTAACCGTGTGAACTCTCCTAACCTGCTACAAAGCAGAGCAAAGCAGGTCATCCTACATGGCCCAACTCCCTTCGGTGCTTTACGGATGCTCATTTTTGCAAATGACTGCAGTAATGAGTGATGAGGTTTAAGCTGGCTAAAGGGTACGGACCGCTCCGCCAGCTCAGCGCCGGGGTATGAGCGGGGCTGAGGGATGACTGCACTGACACGGACACAAGCGCTCACCCGGGCGGTGGTGATGCCTCACTGGGGACCCGTAACTTCTTAAACAGCGTGGTGGCAAGAGCGTGTGTCATGTCCGGAGTCACCTGGGTGACTTGTATCTGATCAGAATATCAAGTTAAGTGCTCTGATACGTGGAATTCAATATCAAGTTAGAATTAGTTTGCATAGGGATATGTAATGAGCTTGGATTTAAACTGATCAGAGTCCATGCTGCAAAGCTATGCTTAATTAAGTTAGTTAATGATGGTGGTAGAGCTTAAGGAGTTTTGGAGGCCTGTACCTATAGGACGGCCCCTCGGAAAGCTCTATCGGGATGTCAGTGTTGCGTGCGAGCATTTCTGTGTGGCTGGCCAAGACATGGTTGTGGCCGCGGGGAGTGGGTGCAAGCAGAGAGTCTACGGGATGTTTCTAGGGAGAGTCCATTCTCTTCCGTCTAGTGTTGCAGTTTCAGCTGTGGTTTTCAGCTTCTAAGCACAGCAAGTGAGGATGAGGTTCTCATCTCTGCTTGCGTTAAGTTGGTTGTTTAGTTTGTAGCGGGAGGGAAAGAAAGGGAAAAGTTTTCTCTAGGGCTGGTTCTCGCTGTCCTCACAAGGCACCAGTATAGGTTAGGGGTGGACCTGCTGGGAAGTAGCTCTGAGGAGAAGGATTTGGGGGTCCTGGTAGATAGCAAATTGTCCATGAGCCAGCAGTGTGCCCTTGCTGCCAAAAAGGCCAATGGAATCCTGGGCTGCATAGGGAAGAGGGTGACCAGTAGGTCGAGGGAGGTCATTCTCCCCCTCTACTCGGCACTGGGGAGGCCACAACTGGAATACTGTGTCCAGTTTTGGGCTCCCCAGTTCAAGAGGGACAGGGAACTGCTGGAGAGAGTCCAGCGAAGGGCAACCAAGATGATGGAGGGATGGGAGCTCGTCCCGTATGAGGAAAGGCTGAGAGCGCTGCGACTCTCCAGCCTGGAGAAGAGAAGGCTGAGGGGAGACCTGATTATGGCGTACAAGTCCCTAAAGGGTGGGTTGAAGGGGGATGGAGCCACACTCTTCTCGGTGGTTCCCAGTGACAGGACGAGGGGCGATGGGCACAAGTTGGAACAGAGGAAGTTCCGTTCCAACACACGGAAGAACTTCTTTACGGTTGGGGTGACAGAGCACTGCCCAGGCTGCCCAGGGGGTGGGGGAGTCCCCTTCTCTGGAGATGTTCAGGCCCCGCCGGGATGCAGTCCTGAGCGATGTGCTCTGGGCAGTCCTGCTTTAGCGGGGGAGTGGGACTGGGTGATCTCTAGAGGGCCCTTCCAACTCTGAAAATTCTGTGATTCTGTGAAGGCTTTAATGTGACAATTTATCTGGGTGTTTCTTAGGCTGTCCGTTCCTGCTTCCTAAATTTGATCTGTAGATGTCCTGTGCTTAAAACATTCCTTCCTCATCCCAGATTCTTAGGAGTTGCTTGAAAATCCTCAGGTCTCACCCTAGGGGAATGGTGCCGGAACGGGCAGTACTTCAGGTTTGCTCGGAGCTCCGAATGTGAGTGGTAAATCATGCTGTCGTCTGGGGAAAGGGTACCAGAGTGACCATCTGAACCGCACAACCCCTCCTTGGCTTTCTGCTGAGCGTCTGCTGCCCGTGATGAGGTGGCAGAGACACGCTGTCCACATACCCGAGTATTCTCACTGCCCTCTTCCACCTCTAACACAAAACTGGTTCGTTCTTCTCCGACTGTGGACCGACACTGACCCACTATTATTTCCTCTCCTTTGTTTCTTCTTGCAAGAACAGGTTGTGTAAGCCAAGCCTCCCTTCCTCGAGGCCAGTGCTGCTGTGGGGGGAAGAAGGGTGTTGTCTGGAAGGACTTGGTTTGCGTAGCCGTTGGTAGCAGAGGCAGAGCAGGTTACAAAGGTTCTTGTTCTTCCCCGCTGCTAGGCTCCCAGCTTCTTCGGGAATTGAAAAAGATGGACGACAAAGCATTGCTGGTGGAAGTGCAGCTGTTAGAGAGTAAGACTTACCATGCCCTGAGCAATCTGCCAAAAGCAAGAGCAGCCTTAACCTCTGCGCGGACTACAGCCAACGCAATCTACTGTCCACCTAAGCTGCAAGCGGCGTTAGACATGCAGTCAGGTAAAGCCCTTCAGGAGGAGGGGAAAGTCTAGGACTTGTCATGATGCATCAGTTGACTGATGCTTGTTCTTTCCTGAGCGAATCGTAGAAAATGATGCTAGGTGGGACCTCAGGTTACCCGCAAGTCTGCTCAGCTGCCTCAAGGCAGGATCAGCTATAATTACATTGTTCCCGATATGTGTTTTTTCAGCCTGTTTTTTAAAACCTCCAGTGGTGGAGGGTCTGTAACCTCCCTAGGCACTACAGCATTACACCACGCTCGTGTAACTGTAACGTTGTTCCTGACCTAATTTGCAGGCACTTACCTGAAGTGCCCCGAACTTATCTTTTTTAACATGTCCCCTTAAGAGAGGGGCACGGATGTTCTTCTGCTAGAGACAGGGCAAAGGGGGACGCAGAAGGAAAGGATTCTCTTTAATGAAGTACTGGGTAAAGCGCTGGGCAACCAGATTGTTCTGTCCTCTTCCAGTCACATTCAGAATTAACTCTGATGCCTTCCTGTTTGTTCCTCTCCACAGGTATTATTCATGCAGCAGAAGAGAAGGACTGGAAAACAGCCTATTCATATTTTTACGAGGCGTTTGAGGGATATGATTCGATTGACAACCCAAAAGCCATCACTGCGCTGAAATACATGTTGCTGTGCAAAATCATGCTGAACATGTACGTGGCAAAGGGTTCTGCGAAGAGCACTTCCTGCATTTAAATGGGAAAGGCTTTTTGTTTGTAAGACTCGATACTAATGAAAGAACTCAAGCGGATGAGCTTGCTCTTTGTCATTATGACCTAATCGATGCTTCTGATACAATGTTACCTTGAATTGTAGTAATTTGCTATCAATGGGGAGGTTTTGAGACACGCTTAGATTTAAGCCGACCGTGTTGTTGAATAAATGCTCTCTTCCCTCCCTCCCCTCTCTAGCCCAGAAGATGTGCAAGCGTTAGTGAGTGGAAAGCTTGCTCTGCGGTATGCAGGAAGACAGGTATAGAAACTTAATCCTTTCTATCTTCCTATTATCTCTGAGAATACTGTGTTATTCTTTTGGCAAATACTTTGGTCTTTTCCTACCAAAATACCCTTCGCTTCTGAGCGGCCTGAACGAGATCCAGAACTGATTAAATTACCATAAGTAATTACCATAAGTCAATTGCCGTCAAAGGGAATACAGTGATTTTCACAACCTGAGAATCTGGCCTGCTCGCTTCATTTTCTGGTTTTCTCCTCCCTGCTTTTTTCCTGAACTACGAAATGCCTGACGCCGTAAGGTACTCCTGTCTCAGCCCTCGCCAACTGCTCTGCAGCCACGGATCTGATGTATTTAAATCCAAGTTATTCATTGTTTTCACTGGTGTTGTAGCAAGTCCTGAAAATCCTTTCGTAGCAGCGTAGCTGAGCAGCTTGAGACCTAGATGACTGTAAGGTGGAAGCCAAGCAGCTGGGGAGCTGTTAAATCAACTGTTTATTCTAACATGTTAACTTGCCAGTCTGTGAATGCCACCCCCGTATTAAATCCAGAGATGCTTATATAAAGCGCAGGGCCAAAAGCCAGGCGTGCCAGCGTCTGAGCCAGGCTTACACGCTGATGCCCTCAGTGGCTTTGGCCAGCCGGCTATTTACTTTGACGCAGGAGCTAATACTCGCCTACCTCACAGAGGATCGGGGAAGCTGTTTAGTAGAGGAGGTCAGTGAGCGTATGTGCGTAGAATAGAGTCTGAAGGGGGGATATCCCCGCATTATCCCTGCTGGATCACGGAGGGCAGCCCTGGTCCTGCTTCATCCCTTTCCCTTGGGTGGCAGCTGGGTTGGAAGCTCCTTTTCAGAGCATGAGGGCACTGTACCCTGGAGGAAATCTCAGCTCTTGCCTCCAGTGTCCTCCTGAGACAGCAGCGATCGCAAGTTCTGGCTGCGGAAACCGAACGTAGGGAGCAGAGAGAAAGTGGGCAGCCTTGGGGACAGCTTGGTGGGAGAGGTGGTAGCAGAAACCTGGGCCTCATGCACCACAGCCACCGGGCTGTCCTGCTTGTCTTGTGCCTCTCACCACTTGGAAACTGTTCTTCTAGTGGTGGTACTGATCTGTTTAGTGTAAATATGGTGGTTTGGTTATGGCTGAGTCTTTTGCTTTGTTTCAGCAATGGTGGGGTAGACAAGAAACATTTCCTGGTGCTGTCCGCGATGGGGTATCTGTAGGACTTCTGCTGTGCTTCTGTTGCTCAGCCAAGGAAATGTGGCGTGCTGAAGGGGAGAAACGCAGCTTAAGGGCTGAAAATGGCCACGTTCATTAAGCAAGTGCCGAAATGTGCACTTTCCTTAAAAATTGTATCAAACTTGCTCCCAACCTGCAACCTGATAGGAACTGCAGCTGGTGTTCTCAAACCTTGCGAAGCTTGAGTTCTTTGTTTCTGTGAAGCTGATTTCACGCTGTGTCCTGCAGCTGTTCTGCATGTTCTCCTTATTAGCAGCTGTTCTTACTCTGCCTGTGTGGAAGTAACACTGACATGGCTTTGTAGCAAGAGGGAACATTCCCATTTTGCTGCTTAAGCACATTTTCAGTATACTGCACAGTCGGCATAATAGCACCGAGAGGGGAATCCAGAAAAATAACCTACTCTCGTTTTCTTTCTCTGCAGACAGAAGCACTAAAATGTGTGGCACAAGCCAGTAAGAACCGATCGCTGGCGGATTTTGAAAAGGTGAGTCAGGAGACAGAAAATAGGGTCTGGCTGGACAGAACATTCAGAAATACCAGGTTTGGAAAGTTGTAGGAGCTGTTACATCCCACAGCAGGAAACCATAAAAATATTCGTAGAAAGCAACAGCGCGTCAAGCAAATAACCCACAATAATAAATCAGTTTGGTTTTCGCAGCATGGGGAGTAATAGCTTGCTTGAAACTAGGTTTTTTTCATTGGTTTTTTTCCTTTCTTTTTTTGGAGAGCCAACTCAGAAGCAGTTCCCTGAACTTTTGGTGCTGTTCACTGGGATGGTTATCTTCCTAAATTTTTCCCTGGCTTCAGCAAGAATACCACGAGATAACGGAGAGTATTTCTGTGTCAGGAAACAATCCTGTCACGCTGTCTCCCGAGCGTACACCAGAGATTCTGGCTTGCTGAGCTCCGGCAGCGTAAAGACAAAAGATGCACGGTGCTTGAAAGGCTGCTGGGCTGTCCTGACCTCCTGGCCTTTTACCAAGTTACGGGATTGGATTAACCACCGATGCTTTGCTGGGCAGGGAGGAAAGATATTTCATACTCAGAGGGCTTTGAAGACGGGAGGCTTGTTGCTACCTGAATTATTTGCTCCCGCTGTGTCTTCCGCAGGCTCTGACAGACTATAAGGTGGAGCTCAGGGACGACCCCATCATAAACACTCACTTGGCTAAGCTCTATGATAACTTATTGGAACAGAATCTGATCAGAGTCATCGAACCCTTCTCCAGAGTACAGGTAAATGTTCCCAGCAAGCACACCGACGTACTGGTACCTCTGTCCCCTCCTGTTGGTGGGTGAAGGACTTGTTCCTGTACAGAATACTTCTTACTCAGAGCTGTGCGGCGTTTCCAGAGCTCAGGGTTCGTCATGTTCAGCTGAAAAATGATAAGGAGGGGGCTGAGGGGAACTTTGGAAAACCACGTTCCAGAGTAATGGGCCTTTCCACCTGTTTTGCTACGCACACTGAAAGGTGGACATGCTTTTAGCACTGAAGGTAGCAGTGTTTGGCTTTTAAGGGCTCTGACGGGGTGTGGGTAAAGCTGCAATGATCTTGGAGAAGAAACGTTATTCCAGGTTTGAGAGTGAAATGGCTTTAGGTGTCTAGTCCATCTTCAGTTAAAGTCGGATGTGAAACCTGAAGGACATGAACCTGCAAAGCGGAGAAAGCGGAGATTTTTAGGCCAGAGCGTTTGCAGGCCCTTGAGTTCTTCTTTGGAAGAGCCCCATACCTCCACGTTGCATGTGAAAAGTACAGCTGAAGATTTACTTAACTCTGTTGGTCTCTCTTATAGATTGAACACATATCCAGCCTCATCAAGCTCTCAAAGGTAAGAACATCATGAGAAATCAGTGACATGTCTTAAGAGGGCAAAGGAATTGAGGTCAAATGGCATTTGCTGCTGGAAAATAAGTGTTGTTATTAAACCTGACGGGTCAGCTCCACAGCACTTACAGGCAAATACCGCTCTTGGGAACTTAACTTTAACCCAGACAGTTTCCAGGAGTCATCAGACTGGCTTCCTCTGCGCTAAGAAGTTGCTGTAACGTCACCTGCCTTCACATGGGTTTTACTCCCGGTGTTAGCGCTTGCTTTTTGATAGGGACAGGTTTTCTTCTGCTGTGGTAACAGCTCATGTCATGACCAGCTCAGTCTTCCCCGTTGACCTGCGTTTAATCCTCGTGAGCGTGCCCAGAGGAACCTCTCTCAGACCCTTAAGATACAGGATCCAGCTAATCACTTCGATTGAAGTTTCATTAGGGATGCGCATGTCACATTGCCTATTGCAATAACTGCTTTACAGATAATCCCGACCAGATTAAGCTGTAGGAAAATCCACTGTAGTCCCAGCCGGTTGCATCCCGAAGTGCTTTTGTCCTGTGTTGCCGTGACGGCTGGAAGTTTGGAACTGTCCTGAGCTCAGCCTTTATGGTCGTTACATCACCTATCCTCCTTTTCTACCTGTGCAGTCGTTTCCTAGTCTAGCCCTTGGTCTTTAACACATACTGAATAGTTTGAGTAAAAGCTGGACTGCAGTTGTTTTTTAACTCTGTCCAAAGAGCAGAAGAGGAGCTGAGTCCTGTGGGCCCTGGCCTGGCGCTGGGCAGGAGGTCAGCTCGATACCGACTGGCTTAAATGAAGCCTGGCAAACACTTGACTAAATAT